TACAAACAAGAAACGCTTGTGTCTAAAACTAGAAATTAGTTTGAACTAGACCTGAAAATTATAATTTATTAACAAACTTGAAAAAAGGATAACAACTAATGAACATTTTTTTAACATAAACTACAAAACATGACACGGTAATTTAGTATCAGATGACAAGAACATAAAACACTCACACATTAGAGTGTTCACGAGAAATCAGCCACTGGTTGTTTCTAAAATTAATTTTTCTTACTTTAATGACTAATAGTAAAACATTCATTTCTGCATAAATCTGATGGTAGTACTTAGGAATCTTTGATTTCTTTCGAAGGGCAAATAACATCCAAGGTATACCTGCACATCGTTGTTGTTCATGTTCACCCCACAATGTTGCATTCCCATGATGATGTACAAAGGGTCTCCCAAGACTGCAAATATCTATTACACCCGTAACGTCCGAATTGGTCCAAAGATCATAACAATGACTTCAAGCACATCTCTTGTCAACACAATAATCGAATCTCAATCCAATTATTCAAATTCAGGATAAACTAGAACATCGTATTCCCAACCAATAATCCTTTTCCAATCTCTTTGAATTAAGACCAAATCATACTTTTCGATGAATGAGTGAGTGTAATCGAACTAGAATAATTTCCTCGGTTTGTGGAGCCACCGTCATGCCTAGTTCAGGTTATTATCATAATAAAAGGTGGTACAGTCCGCTATTAGGGAAGTTATAATGAACTAGCCAGTCAATATTCAATAATCAGTTTTGATGATATGAAAAATGCCAGATAGAACAAGATTAAACGCGAAAACCTTAAACATCATTCACGTCATCTTATCATTTTTCAGCTTAACAGATGATATCTAACAGCATAAGTAGGAATACTTATTTTATGTAAATCAGTCTTATGCTCAGCATTATAAACAACATCTGTTTTCAGTTCAGTTATTCCACAAAGCATTTGTCACAGTGTATGAGACCACACATAATTATGGTTATAATTATTTCGTATTATTTTCACAGATTCTGTAAACCAATGGAGCCTAAAAGAAAGCGTGCGTTCGAAACGTTGCTAGACACAAGTTTTTAGTTAGACATGTGTCTTATACCCTTGTTTATTCATGCTTTGTGGTACGTTTAGACAAATGAGTGGAAGAAAGAGACTAGGTGAAAGGGAAGAAATATTAAGTTTAAGATCAAATGAGCAAGAAAATAGAGAACGATAGCCTAAGAAACCATGTGTTTACATACAAACATAGGTTATTCAGTGGGTAAATAGATGGTAGCTTGGCAAAACATTTTGAAATCATACAGAAATACTATAAGTGTTTAAGGTGCACATGAAATGACTTATGTTTCTGAGAAGCCATATGTCTTTGCCCACAGTGACTTGTGGAAAATGTTTTTGGTGTCATATTCTTAAGTCTGTTGATATCATTGAAAATTATTTGAAGTACTTAATTATTCTTTCATCCACATCGTTAAGTCTTATAATTTTTGGTATAATAAAAGGAATATGTACATGACTTCATTTACCACAAATGCAAAAGCTTTGTCTTGGAAAATAAAATAATTTATAAAAAAAGATTGAAATTCATCAATGCTACCAAAACGTTAAATCCAAGTAAGAGCTGTTGATTTAATGTCCACGTCTGCTAAAGTGTTTTAGTTTCTGTATGAAGTTTTCTTCGATTAACGAGTCCTAAAAATTACTCCACTTTTGGGTCAGTGGTAAGTTTCCGGATTTATAACACTATTAAAATCAGGGATCTAATTCCCCAGGGTATAGAGAGCAAAGATAGCCCATTATGTAGCTTTGTGCGAAAATACTCACCAACAACATTAACAAATTAATCAAATTTTTTATGTAAAATTTAATTCTATGGAGTTCTAATATTCACCGACTTCTCTACAAGTAACTGGAGAGGATTCCGCAAGATAAAAGAAGGTTCAACAGAAAATGTTTTGCAGATGTAAACAGAACTATCTTGGTCTTGATTGAGCCTAGAGTAAAGAGAGAGATACTGGGCACAACGTAGAGCAGAGTGAAAACAATATATATTCACACTTAAACACAATGAAAATTAATAAGAGTGAGGATAGTGCCTTTACTGGAGCTTTCAGAAATCCACAGATCTCTGTGAGAGCATAGAATCTATCTCAGACTGAGCAAACATACACACTTCTACAGTATGGTTGCGATAATATTTTATTAGTTTTTCTTTTGATTTATGTTTATGAAGGACCAACTTATTATTTGAGATTTTTCACTTGCAAAACACATGAATCGAATATTACATTTTCTAATGTTTCAATATAACGATACGCAGTCTAGAGAATTATTTTAAATTGCATCTGTGTTAAATGGTGTCATGCTGTTAGATATTCTTTTAAGTCTTTCAGAATATCTATTAACAAGAAGCCCTGTCATTCAACCATGCATTTACAGTATTAAAGTAAAAACTGGCACAAATTAAGTATCGATTATGGTCTACTAAGTGATAGTTTGTAATAAGTAGCATGCGAAAAGTCAAGATTTAGAATTCTGGTATGAATGTCGTAGACCTAAATATATATACGTACCCATAAGTCATCTTTCTGATTAGCACTTTCTAGAACTGTATAAGGATGTGGTTCAGTTCGCTGTCTATGTTTGTCTCAACATACTTGTCTAGAATTCTCTCAGATTTAATGCTATGCAAATGATAATTCTAATAATCATTTTATGCGTTTTGGAGGTTTGAGAAAATTATAAGGAGAATGCCAGTTTATCTTTTGTCGTGAAAATGCGCACTGCACTTTAGGGCTGTGGGTGCATTATAAGTTAGTTATTGTTTGTTTTGTTAAATCTTCATGCAAAACTACTCGAGGGCCATCTGCGCTAGTCGTCCCTAATTTAGCAGCGATAGGCTAGAGGGAAAGCAGCTATTCAACACAGCCACCGCCAACTCTTGGACTTCTCTAGTCAAATAGTGGGATTGGCCATCATATTATATCGTCCTCACAGCTAAAGAGCGATCATGTTCGGTGATGGGATCAGAACCCGTAATCCGGAAATACAAAGTTCGTACAGGCCACAATTTCGTTTAGGGCCGGCTCTGAAGTCGGCATAGCTTGACTAGAATTATCAAAGCTTATTATTAGAAAACATGGCACAGGTCAAAATGTGATATAACCAATGGCATGTGACGTTAATATCTAAGTTAATTGCTGCAAACTGGGAATAAAACTTTTTAAATAATGAAACTTTGCTTACACATAATTAAGTCGTATCGCTATGTGCAACAAGACGACTGTGAAACTATTAGTTGCTTTATTCTAAAAGTCTCATATTATGCTTTCGAATGACAAATTTGGGATACCTTCAAGCACTATATGATAATACTAAGATTATACCTTCAAGCACTATATGAAATACGTGTGTTTAATAGTTAATATAAACCAAGATAAAATAAAATGTTCAATCTGATAGCGCACGGCTTATAAAAATTTTTCACTATACTCGGATATATCAAAGAACATCACCTAAAATCTTCACACATTTGAAGTTCAAAGTGATTTATTTATTTTACATGCTAGTTTAATTACCGAAACAAGCTAATTTACAGCATGTATACGTTCAAGATAATTAGTACTGGTGCCATAACAAGTTTAATAATATATATATACATGTACATTGTAACACAACAAAATTGGACATCGCTTATAGAATCAAGTGAGAAGAGACTACTTGATATACATAATGTAATTAAGATGCTGAATTGTCGCAAATTAAAGTAAGTACATGAGATGCTATTTTACATAAATATATATATATGTGATTTTAAAACGTATGTTGAAAGATGTGTGATTCGAATTAAAATGCTTTGGGGCAGAATTTAGAAACTATACTTGTGTAAGCCTTTTATTGATTTTTTTGTCTGTTGCCTGTGCTTATAGACTGTAGTCGAGTGCCAAATAAACATGTATGGTAATATAAAATATGACGAGTTATTCTTTTCTGGCGAATTTTGTTCTTACAAAGTTAATGTAAGAAATGAATTCGTAATTCCTATTATCATAAAATAATATTGCATAAAATATCTAATTTGGCAAAAAAGTACAACACAAGGTAAAATAAATGAAATAAAAATAACGGATATTAATTTGTGTTGGGTGTTTTTATGTGGTTAACAAAATACACTTACGTCTGTATTAAAAAACTACAAGTTGAGAAGAAAAATACGTGTGACATACTTTAAACCTGGACTAAACGATAGAGTATCTTAATTAAACAGAAAATATAACTCGCTTAGCCTCTCTTCATTTTCATATAACAAACAGGCTTAGCTTATAATAGCAGTATGGTATAACGAATGTGTCTCCGGTGGTTCAGTAATATGTCTGAAGCCTTATAATGTTAAAAAATGGGTTTTGATCTTCGCAGTGAGCACAGTATATCTTGTTCTTAACGTCAAACAAATGGGTACTGGCAGTATTTGCTTTTAATCTCATTTTGAAATATATAGATTATTCAATGTTTATACGAATAGCGTTGTATAAAAAAAAAACACTGAGTGCGTTAGAATAGAATTAAATAAAATCTTAGGGAATATTTAACCTAAATAATATTCACGATGTTAGAAAAACAAGTAGGTTTAAGAAATCAATTTAACACGAAACGGTTATAGGGTATCTTTTTTTTCTAATAAATTAACCTAAATAATAAATAGCCCACATAGTCCATAAAAGCCAACCATTTTTATCTTAAAGCAAACATTTCATATATACTCATCCTCAGTGTAAACAACTTAAATGGAAGATTAGCGATGTCCTCCTATTTAACGGGTATACAACGCGTTGAACTATTAACTATTCTAATAGGAACTAGAATCCTACTCTATTTCGGAATTATCTAAACATTAGCCTGAAGACGAACCCTTGTGACAATCAAGAGCTAACTCCTAGTTTCTTATTAATATTCCAACTTGGTGAATACCTGTTTTTTATAGTATTTAATATCAAATATTCATGTTCGTGCACCAGAGGACCAATCATTTTTATCTTCAAGCAACATCTTACTGTCTACATCTTCATGGAAGCTAAATGATATTGGAGCACCAGAGGCAAAACGACGTATGTAGATCAACCTTCTCACTCCAGCTTCTCCATGGTCGTCGACAGCAGTAAACACTGAGCTATAATTGTTATTATAGGTATTATTTGCATTGCTGAAATTATTGGTTTAATATATGAAGTGAATTCAATTGCCAAACTTTGTACACAAATACTGACACAGAAATCAAGCTGAACAATAGTTGGGTAGTACCGACATCAATGAGATGTAATTGCGATGTTAATATTACTATTTGATATTCTAAATGTAAACTGAAATACTGATTAGCGATTCTA